TAAGTATAATTAATAATTTAAAAAAATATAATTCAAAAAAATTAAAAAAATTCCACTTTAAATTGATTTCCACTTATTTCCCCACAATATTTTTTTTATTTACGTTAAAAAAAGAAAAAGCAAAATTCCTAAAATTGGCCAAATTTTTTTTTTGTTATTGTGTGTTTATTGAAAAAAAAAAACTGACCTTTATAGATGCCTTACAAAACAGTGCCTCTTTGTATTCACACTAAAAATACTACAAATAATACGAAAAATATTTGATTGAGAAATAATGTAAAAAATACATTTATATATACATATATAATATTATATACAAAAACAAAAAAAAAATAAATAAATAAATAAATATAAATATTGACGTTAAAAAGAAAAACTATAAACACCTCATACTATATAACAAGAGAAACCTGATATATATACTTTTTTTTTTAAATCATATAAAAAAAATAAATAAATAAATCTCGAAAAATTTAACGAATTGATAAATTAAAGGAAAAGGCAAAAATTTATGTATACATATAAAATTTTTGTAACTCATGGCTGTTACAATTGTTATAATCTTAATTAATGGAAATTGAAAAAAATTTATTTTTTTCTTCAATTTATTTAAGGTAAACGCAAGCCTTTCAAAATTATCACTTACATACGATGGAAGAAAATAAATAAATAACTCATTAACTTCAAGGTTTTTTTTTAGGTTTTGTCTGAGACCTCAGTTAGCAAATCGTCCTACAACAGCATCATCCAGGCCATCAAAGTTATGATTTACACTATTAAGAAGTAACTTAAGATCAATATAGAATATGTGTATAGCAGAGAAAAAAAATGCGATACGGATGAGGAGGAGCTCACCATTGCTTTTAAACACATTTTCAAACTCAAAAATGTTTAGGGAAGAAAAACTACTTTAAGCAAATAAAGACACTTTCATTTGTTCACTGATTTTTTTAATTTTTCTGCGGTTATTTTATTGCTTGGTTTTTACAGAAGTTCCAAACCAAGAGAAGCGTGTTGTTAAAGCTTTATTTCGCTCGTAAGCTATTTTTCTCTCTTCATCTCTTTCTGTCTCTTTGCCTCTCACTCTCTCTCTCTCTCTCTCTCTCTCTCTCTCTCTCTCTCTCTCTCTCTTTCCTTCACTTTCCATCACTTTCCATCTCTTTCTCTCTCTATTTCCATCTATTTCCCTCTCGTTCTGAGCATTCATCCTTCAGTCTTCCATCCGCCATCGAACGTATCCCACCATTCTTTTCAATAATACCAATAAGATCTCTTAAGCGTAGAAAATTAAACCTGCTCTGCTTACTTCCATATTTGTTTATACTCTTATTCGAGCAATTTATTTGCACGCTTTAGGCTTCAACCAAGCTAACAGCCCGCTTATCTGTATCAGGGTTCATGAAAGCCACACTCTACTTGGTTTGGTAAGAAAACTGTGATAGTTTGGCCTAACTGCAGGTTATCCAGTCAACGTAACGAAGGTCCGTCAGCCCTTAACCTCAGAGTCTATTCATCCTTCCCACATTTACGATCTTCACATAAAACGACCTTGTGGCCATATGCAACTAAACCTTGCTCTACTTACTGCGCCTATGTATTTATTGAAATGTAGACGAAAAGTCTAACTTACTCATTTCACTTAAGAGAGAGAGAGAGAGAGAGAGTTAGAGAGAGAGAGAAATAAATCTATGAATGTTTGCATTATGCTATTCACTATGATACTCTAAAGTAAACAAAACATGTCTGCATATCCCCACGGCCCCCTTCCAAACATCCTTATAACGGAAAACAATCTCACAATAAAAGTTAATCGATATGCTATAAGAAGAAGTCTATTTGTTTTTGTATATAGCTGGAAGCGTAATCCAAGTTCATATCCGAAATCAAGCTTGCTCAAGCTTCAGCTAAGCAATGTCCGTCCTACGTAACATGCTTCTCTTTTACGCAACTTTTACAATGAATTCTGAGGAGACAAGTAAGATCCTTTAGAGTCTATCTTAACCTTTCTGAATATTACATACGTCCGCACAAACTATAGCCCAAGTGGTGTAGGGTACAAACAAAGTTTATCTTAATCGATTTCGAAAAATTCCTAACCTAAATAAAGTTCGGCAATTTAATTATTTATATAAATGATTTGGTTTCTTTTCGCCGTGTGTTTGTATAGAATAAATTTGATTAAATATATATGTTTAAAAAGTATATTAATTGTTAAAATTAAATAAAAATTAATGTGTTATAAAACATAATTAAATGAATAAATAAATGAATGTGTTAAATGTGCATTACGAAAGCTTTAACTGTACACTCTAAATTTTAAGTTAAAATTTAAGAGGAAAATAATGAAAATGAAATGGAAAGGGAAAAAGATAAACCCTTAGAAAGGAATTACTTAGAGAAAAAATATGGTCACATGGGACCATTATAACTCACAAGTCTAGAAACTGCGAAGCAAACTAAGATAAAACAAAAAAAAATAATTAAATAAAATACATAAAATAAATAAATAAATAAGAAGCAAAGTGATGATAGAAAAAACTGCTAATGTTTAGTTAGACAGAAATTTTACATATATTGTGTATACACACAGCCACACAAATATATATGTATACAAGAATATAAATATACATATAAACATCTTTATATATATATATATAAATAAATATATATATATATATATGTATATATATAAAAAATTATATATATAAAAAATTATTTACACAACTTGTGAAAATTTATTAAAAAAAAAACAAAATTTGCACAAATAAATATAAAAAGAAAAATTTAGTAAAGAAAACCCCCCTCTCAAGACTTGTTGAAAAATATATTTATAAGAAAAAAAAAAAAAACGAAAAACAAAAAAAAGGAAAAGTTGAATTTATATAAAAAAGAAAAAAACAATCGAAAAATGTACATAAATGTTATTGTATACGCTAAGCTTGACAGAATATGTTACCTTAAGTGAATGTTTCTGTGTTTTTAACTAATAAATGTTTTTAACTGTTAATTATCGTTACAATCATATTTTATCTCTCTCTCTCTCTCTCTCTCTCTCTCTCTCTCTCTCTCTATCTATCTATCTATCTATCTATCTCTATCTCTATCTATCATTCTCCCTCTCTCTCTCTCTCTCTACATATATATATCTCCTTTATATACAATTACAGTGGTACTTCGATTCGCGAACTTAACGTCTTCGTTACTGCCCATAAAAGTAAATATTGAAACTGATATCATATCCATTTAATGCAGCATAAAGAATGCAGAACAATTAAAAACATTGTGATGGGACGCGGCTTACCATTACATATGTTACACCTTCACTTAATATTGTTGTCCACATGACGACTTTTCGCAATCGCGCTTTATGTGAGGCGTGGTCGGAAAAAACATGTCGGTGTACCAGATGTCATTAAAATATCTCGAATATTACGACCCATAAGTTCAACACAAGAAACTAAGATGGACAGACGGACATACATGCTTAAATTGATTCGATAGAGTTATTCGAAATCGATCGGCATAATTACTGGTGGCTCTATCTCAAGTCCTTCTAAGTGTTACATACATGTGCACAAACTTAGCATACCACCACAAGTAGTGTAGAGAATAATACTTCTATGTCAAGAACATATTTGAGTAGTTGGAAGGAGGAAGAGAACGACTGCCATTCCATAATAGCCTCGATTAGTGTTTTACTGCCCATGTATTATTATTATATAATAAAAAAAATTTATATCAACGACATGAGTTGCATTACGATTAGGAAGTAAAGCCGCCGAAATTATAAATCATTTTTTTCAATTTATTTACTAAACAAAACACTAACCAAGGTTCGGGCACTTGTTGGACTATTTTAAAAATATGTGTATATAAAAAATTTAAAAATTTAAAAAAAAACAAAAAAAAAAAACAATTTCTTTTATAACACTTTCTTGGCCATGACATTAACTTTCCTCAATTCTCACTCAATTGCCTTCAAATTTCGTTGTAACATCCTGTAGTGAACCACGTAGGATTTTTTAAAAACATTAATTTAAAAAGAAAAAGATGACATTTTTTTCCTTCCAAAATCCCTTGAGGTAAGCCAATCAAAAAAAAATATATTACGAAAGAATTTTGTTACTAACCTGGGGAGGAAATGTTGGACGTGTAGGAATGTGGATATTAACGATTAACCAAATTTCAAACATTACTGCAAATTGCATATGATTTGTTCGAATCGAAACATACACCGCTTCTTAATTTTTTCTGTTCAACACTAAAGTCTTACATTTTCCAGCTCGTGTTTTACCTAATTAGCGTTCTAGAGGCGTTGGTTGTCGCCTATTGTTATTTTGTAAAATATTCATGTGAAATTGACTGACGCTGCTATACTCAAGTCAAACTTTTTAGTAAGACCCTTCTTCTGACCGTTACAAGTTGCCTGCATTAGTTTTCCCGACACTTATCCGGTAGCACGACTTGTTTGCTGATTATATTCACAGGAGTTAGTTGCGCGTTCATAATTCGACTTTCCCACTGTGTTCTTTATTTACATAACACTTCCCAATAAAATGAAATTCTTGTAACCCATTCGAGATGTCGAATTTTTTCGAACATGATACTCAAAAGCGAAATTCTTCTTCTTTGTATTGTTTAGTTCTCTTATATGATTGCATACCGTGTGTACAGATCGCTCCTGAGAAAATTTTCATTTGCGACGGACGGATTAAAAATACCGTGCGTGCAACGTGAAATAAAACAAAAACGCATCATTAAAATTTATAAACATTTATTTCCAACAATAGTTAGATAACATGAAATCGTGTTCTATTTCACTTTCAATGTCATTTTCACTGCAGTCGCTCCAATCACTGTCCTCGAAAACCTCACCTAAGATTTCAAAATCATTATCACTACCTATAACAACAACATATCGATTTGTTTTTTTTCCATTTCTTACAAGCATCACTTTCTTTATCACTGGTTGTTTCCTGCATTCGTGATGCCCACTTAAGATGTGCCGTTTTATGGTCTAAGTTGAAACCTATGCCAAATTTTGTTTTTCTATATTTCACAGATATTTTTAAATCAAAAGATAGTTTCATCTCGACGACTACTTTACTCAGAATGACTGATAATTGTTCATAGCACAGAATGTAATCGGTCTCGAATGGGTTAATAACTATCTGCCACAACAAGTCGATTAAGTTACATTATGTACATTATGTAAATGTTAATTATATATGTTAAGAAATAATTTAGATTAATAGATAAACTACAAATGTCTTTAACATTGAATTGAAGTTTAATTTTTTTTTTTTTTTTTTAAATTTACACACACGTCATGTTACACAAATATCAAATATTTCAAAGCACTGATATGGTTTTACTATCATTTAAATGATAAGTTAACGTTTGAAAATAAAAATTTGAAAACAAGAAAAACTACTACATTTATTATTTATTCAACAATTAACTTATAATAATTTATAATAGAATTTATCCAGAGGAATGTATAACAGTTTCGTTATAAAATTGATAATATTAAAAAAAGTGATTAGTGCCTAGTTCGAGTTAAATACAGTTCTATCACTCTATTCCTCTGTCCTTCTGTCCTTATTACTCTTAATACTGCAAACTTGACTATTTTCCTCGGAATGGATTTAATCTGTGCTCAATAGGTTTGAAATACCTCAGATAACTATCAAAAATTTTATGGAAGTAGTTTATCAAAAGGGAATTTACAAGAAAGAATGCGTATATTCTTAAGATAGCTTCTTAAATTAAATGGGAAAAGGGACTAAAAAGTTTTTTAAAGATATCTAAATTTTTAATATATTCCTATTTATAGATTACCATTTATTTTAGATATTGATGTGGAATCGTTCGAGTAGTGGGTAAAATTATTTCCTATTGATTTACTGATGCGCTTGCAAGAGTAGGTCGAATGCCCTTTCTTTACTTTAAAATAATGTCCGCACAGGATGCTGCCCCCGCACATCTAGTTAAATTAGCCAACGCCAGACTGTAAAGACCCCTTTCAATCGGCAGCCATTCATTTACATTATTATTCATTTGATAGATGTCCTTGTCCACATCGTATGCTTCCACAAAACTCTAGACTCCATAAAAAAAAGAAGAAATGGAAATCTTATATTAACAAAACAACATCCAAATTGCCATAATCATATTTATGTGCTTACCTCCCTGTCACTGAACTCGCAGTATAAACGATTAACTTGATAGCTGAAGTGACGCACACATGAATACGTATTATTCCATGCATCTTGGCAATGACAAGCTGCTTCCGAATTGCATTCGTAAAGGCGATCGTTACGTCCCCAGGGGCAAGACGGGTTGTAAGTATCTACGGTGCCCTCGCCGTGATGTTGTATAAGTAAACTTCGTCGATAGGTTTTATCCATAGAAGCATCATATATATCACTATTAACAAGAAATGGTTGCAACGATTGTCCATCCATGCGAGCTGGATGGGGAATGTTTGCCCATTCCAAAATTGTAGGCGCTAGGTCAATAAGACCTGCCACGGCATTTACAACGGTGCCAGCGGAAATTTGTGGCCCACGTATCAGTAATGGTACCCTTATGTCTGTTTCATAGGGTTGTCGTTTATCAAACGGCTGAGCAAACTGTCCTATATGATATCCATTATCCGATGTATAAATTATATAAGTGTTTTCCAATTGATTCTGTCTAACCAGGCGTTTGATAACAGCAGCTACCATTTCATCTACAGCCAATAAGGATTCCCATCGCTTTTGAAAGTAAATATCCATTAAGTCTAATGTTATATTGGGAATTTTTTCAAAGTTTGCCAACAACCAGTGCTTATCTTTATCAACCAAGCGTCAAAAAATAAAGTCATTTTTCTACCGCAACTACCATCATCTACTTACCTTTAAAAACTTTATTAAAATTTGGCGTTTTTAGTGCCGTAATTCCATCAAAGAGTCCTTGATGCCTCTCAGCCGGTGTGAAGGGTTGATGTGGAGCCGGTGGTGCAAGCATTAGGAAAAACGGTTTACTACTGTTAACGCGTTCATTAATAAACTTTAATGCTCGCTTTCTAAGCAAATCCGTTAAATAAACGTATCCATAGGTTTTATTGTGAGCATTTTCCCTCAGTGTGTAGTTATAATAGCGCGAGTTACCGTGCAAACCATAAAACTCTTTCCAACCAGGTGGCACTTCCCTACCCATATACTCGTTTAAATATTTCCCGGCAAAAAATGTATCGTATCCTTTCCCTTGCAACAAAACAGGAAGAGCTTGAGGTTCAATATGTTTAAGCCAATGCATGTCATTGCAACCACCTCTTACCGAATTATTGAAAGTACGATGATTATGAGCATACATGCCAGACAAGAGACTCGCTCTCGATGGACAACAAAGTGGCGAAGTAGTAAACTGCACAGATAATAAAGGAATATTTTGTAAAACATTTGCTATTCTCAGCAACGTATCACATAACTTACCGCATTAGTAAGAGTTGTCCCTCTCGCACCGATCAAACGCTGAGTTTGATGCATTGGTTTCATGCCATGTAAATACAAATCTTGATCATCACTAAGAAAAAGTACAATGTTTGGTGCTTGTTGTGCATTTGCTATAGAATTTATTAAAGCAGTAATCAATAAGAAATTTATTCTTAGCGGAGACGTTTTAAAAATCGATTTGAAAAGATGCTCCAACATTTTTGTATTTTCGGTAACGGTTTCCGATTTTTCTTTTATTCTTTAGTTTATTATACTACGAAGGGAAACAATGATCTTACTTAAGGATAATTTGTGTTGAAAGTATGCTCTCTCTCTCTCTCTCTCTCTCTCTCTCTCTCTTTATTGTGTTGCCATTTCCCAAAAATGTTAGTTTAAAAAGGATGTCGCACAGAGATGCATTCACTTAACTGTGATTTGTATTTTGTTATCGATAAAATGCCAGATTGTTCTATCTCTCTCTCTCTTTTCTAACTAAATATCTTTAGAAAATAATTATATTCTTCATATCTATCATTTAAAGCGAGTACCTTGTTCCTTATCATGCGATGCAGAGATTTTGCGGCTTCAAGCTCCCAAATTAAAAAATTCTTTTGCAATTCTTCGCAAACTGCATTTTCCTAGATAGGTGTTTCCTTCCCAGCGACAAAATGAGAAGGTTAACTTGTCTATTCATCTTCAATCACTTATTTTTTCTTTCAGTCTGTTTCGAGCAGCTCTTTTCTTTTAAACCGGCCGATATTAGAGTATGATCTATTAAATCAACTAAATCTTTACATGTTGCTGTAAACTCTAAAAAAATTATATTAAAATGCATTTTATTAACGAATATATTCTTGATTATTCAATATCTTAATCCCCATATGTACAAAAAAATAAAACTGAAAAATCAATCCTGTAAGGAAAGGTGGGTTCTATTTTTCTAACCGTAACTAAACGTAAGTGTTGGTAACCCTGCCAATATATGTTATATTAACATCCGTTTTCCTCTTGTTAACATTTTCATGTTTCATATCCGGAATTGAATAAATTTCCATTGTCCGTTTAAATACCATCAACTGGGTACATGCATCGAGTACAACAAGTTCCCGCAGTTCGAAAACGAAATTTAACTGGGACTAATGATCGCGCGCCAGCCTTGTTAACAGATAAGTTCGGATTATTAACAGAGGAGTTCCGATTATTAACAGAGGAGTTCTGATTATCAACAGAGGAGTTTGGATTATTAACAAAGAAAATATTTAAAAAAACAGAGTTGTAGTTGAAGTTCGTAGAAACAGAGTCGTATTTCAATAGTATAATGTTATTCATATTAAGTTTAAGCCAAGACATTAGATAGATTTCTAGGAATAACAAGCTTTTTAACTAAGAAACTTAAACACCTTCAAGATGAGGTAATCTGTAAGGTAAGGAGAGCATGACTCCAGTTCGGATTAGGTCACAGAAAATATGAACGCAACAGTTTCTACAGCTTTCTTAAAACAACAAAGAAACCGTTTCCGGCTTTAAGACTAAGATAACGTTTTCAACTTTTCCCATTTCCTATATAAATAAATTATTGCTTCAAAATGGGTAAAGTGTTTGTTTAAAAGCACTTACGATCTGTTATTATTTAATAATTCTATAAAGAAAAGAGCATTTCTTATTTTTTACAATCTTGAAAAATTTTATTTAAAAAATTGTTTTTATAAAATATAAGAAATTTACAAAATTTGTGTAGATTTCAATTATTGGATATTTTTTTTGTTACAGGACACAATTTTCTTAATATCATACAACAAAAAAAAGGAAAAATTAAAAATTCTAATTAATTATAAATTTGCTTTACATTAAACTAAAGGAAATGCAATCATACAAAAATTCGTTTAAGGCATCAATGATTTCTATAGACATTACATGTCTCTGTGTCTAACAATAAAGAAACAATTCACATAC